CCGCGGCCGCCCCTCGAGCCTCACCCGGAAAATTGGGCTGAGCCCCAGGCGCCACCTCCGTCCAGGCTCCGCCCCCGAAGCCGAGAGGGATGTCTCGCCCCTCCCCCACGCCGCCCGCTCGCAGCTCCTCCTCCATCAGCCTAGCTTACCTCCGTCAGCAGACCTCCTCCTAGCTGGAGTGGTCAGCCTGTCTGTCCCCCTCCCCACACCGGTGGGGGATCAGGCCCCTCCCCACGCAGCGCCAAGGCAGGCCCCCCATAGAGATGAACACAGGGCGGGAGACCCTGGGGTATCTTTCTGAGGGAGCCTAATAAAAAGCCCTAGCCTCTCAGGAGATTTCATTTTCAAGGACACCCTCCCCCCAGGAGACCTCATCCTAGGACCAGTCTCGGAACCACCCAATCTCTGGCCACAGTTATCCCGTGGGGCCTCTGCATCCGGAAGAGTTGGACCACGGGGCCCCTTAATACCCCTCCCTCGCCCCTCCCTAACCCGAACACCTCCTCCCTCTCCCAGCCCAGGGCGGGCCCCCTCTAGGCAGGCAGAGGGAAGCTGAATCACCAAGGCCACCCACAGCTGCGGAAGCAGGGTCCCGCCGGCCAGCATCTATCCCTGGCCAGCAGCCCCTGTCCCATCCCCTGGGCACTCAGAGCTGACTCACAGCTGAAATTCCTGGGGTCCACCCTCTGCCCCCACCCCTGACAGGACAAAGAGCCCTAGGTGGGCTGGGAGCCAGAGCAGCTGCCACTAAGCCTTTGCCCCTGCATCGGTGTTGGGTAAACAGCACACTCCAGAGCAGGACAGGCTGATAGGGATTCCAGGCTGGGCCCTGGCCTCTCTGAGCTCAGGAGTCCAAGTGTGCAAGAATCACTGCCCACTGTGAGCCTCTTTCCTGACGTCCAGCTTCCTTCTCTATGGAAGCTCCTTCCCACTGGGACACGGTTCACCCCTAGCCTGTCGTCTGACCAGCAAGTCCTTGATGGAGGAACCAGCAACCTGTCTGGAGGAACAAGACCGCAAAGGGAGACCGCTCATCTCGGTCCACGGCGCCCTCTGGTGGTCAGAACACAGAATGGCTGCAAGTGTCCCCTAATCCCCATCACAATCCTTGGACTGGGATTAAAATTCCCCAGCCTCACTACTGTTTCAGACCTGCTGAATTCAGATACCCTCTGGTGGGCCCAGGGATGTGAATTTTTTTCATTTGCCTCTGGTGATTCTGACACCCGCATAAGCCTGCAAATCACTGCTGAATAGTCCAAACTGTAGGGCAGGAGATTTCCAGGTGAAAGACCAAAATATGCAGGTATTTAGATGGCGTTTTTCCAGGAGTGGTTGTGGGAGGGAAACTGAGCCAGCCAAGGGGGAAGCCCCCCTAGCCCCACATTTCCTGAAGAGGAGGAATCAGGGCCCCTAAGGGTTAGATTCTTTTTGAGATTTTGTCAGTTTTCCAGTTAAGCTTCCTTTAATTAAAAAAACAGCAATGAATTAAAAAATAGTAAACACCCCCCAATCTTCTAAGAGCTGAGCTACTGTGGAGTGGTAGGCAGTGTCTACACCTCCTCCAAGACTGCCAAAAAGCACTCCCACCTGCCCGGCCTGGTGAGGGGTGAGCTATGAGGAATGAGGATTAACCAAGATGAGGCCTGTGTTGGCCTTGGTGGGAGGGAGAGCGCTGTACACCCTTGTGGGGGAGCGGGGGCGAGGGGGAGGCTGAGGGCAGAGCCCAAAGCAGGGATCGTGCAGCTTGAGTGGTGGTGGGGGATTCAGACCACATCTACCTGGCTCCCGAGCCCCAGTTTTTAACCTGCCTTGACCTGCAGGCAGCAAGACTCTCCATAGGATGTTCCCTTGTGGGAGAATGGTGGGGGTGGGCACCCAGCTTCACAGAGGGCAGAGCAGCAGGGGCTCCTTCACACCTGTTGGGGTCCACCTGAATGCCCAGAGCAGCCCCGAGCAGCCTGCCCCCGCCCACAGGCTCTCATATCCCTCCGGTCTGAGTGCTGCCCTTCACCTGCCGGCCCCCACCGCTGCTGCGGGAAGCAGGTGATTCGGGGCGGGACCCTGAGAGGCACCAGGAGGGAAGAAGAACCCATTTCCAGCAACTGAGCTGCAGAGGCTTGGGATGGGTCTCTTCTCTTGTCGCTGCATGTCTCTAGACTAGTCACTTCACTGCGGGGCCTCAGTCTCCCCACCTGTGATCTATGATGAGCTCACAGGCATGAATGTAAACCAAGGCGCCACCCCACAGATGTGAGTTAGGAACAGGCTGCACGAGGGGACGGGGCTTGTCTGGAGTCACACAGCTCTAAATGCAGGCCAGACGCAAACCTGGGCCCCCATTCCAGAGCGGCCGCTGCTTGTCAAACTCTTACTGTGGACATGACTGTCCTCCCACCCATGCCCCTTCTCGGGGTCCCTGCTGATGGAGCCAGACTAGACACATGACCCAGGGCCCAGAAGCGGGCTGTGCCGGTCAGACCCCTCTCCAGGCTTTGGGACACAGGCTAAGAAGATAAGAGGGCCTGGGGAATTAAACTGGAAGTCAGCAGAGTCACTGCTGGGGCCACGTTCAGAGGAAGCTGACAGAGGGGGAGGACACGGAGAGGAGAGAGCCTGAGGGTAGTGGAGGGATGGAGCCCTGAGCCCCAACTTCCATTTCCCTACTGCCCTTGGCTGCCCTTAAATTGGTGCGCTGAGTCTTTTCAGCAAATATCCTTCTTTATTTTTTATTTTTTTGCCACCCCGAGCAGCATGTGGGATCTTAGTTCCCTGACCAGGGATCAAACCCATGCCCCCTGCAGTGGAAGCATGGAGTCCTAACCACTGTACCGCCAGGGAAGTCCATCAGCAAATATCCTTTGATTTGAGCAGGATTCAGTAGCTCCCTGTTGCTCAGAGCCAAACACACCCCGACTAAGACAGTTCCTTCAGAGGGAGGCTCACATCCAGACCATGGATGCTGAAAGCCCAGTGCAGGGGTGCTCCCTTCAGTTAAGTCCACCCTCCCCCTAGCCTGGCCTGGGACCTGCCACAGCTGGCCTCCCCTATATGGGAGGGCCCTGGCTTCCTCAGGAGGTGAGGAGGCAGCAAGGCGGTGCAGGGGAAAGGGCTGGGGTCAATGGGTAGGGACCTTGGCTCTGACACCCACAGGCTGTGTGACCTGAGGGAAGCTGCAGGTCTCTCTGAGCCTCCACCCTTCTGTGAGGAGAGGGTCCCAGGGCAGGTCCTGAATCCTCTCTAAAGTGCCCTTGGCCGAGATTAAGAAAGGACAGGCGAACAAGCACTCTGGGGATCTGAGCAGACATCTCACCTTCAAAACGGAGGCGGCGGGCTTCCCTGGTGGCGCAGTGGTTGAGAGTCCGCCTGCTGATGCAGGGGAAACGGGTTCGCGCCCCGGTCCTGGAAGATCCCACATGCCGCGGAGTGGCTGGGCCCGTAAGCCATGGCCGCTGAGCCTGCGTGTCCAGAGCCTGTGCTCCGCAACGGGAGAGGCCACAGCAGTGAAAGGCCCGCATACCGGAAAAAAAAAAAAAAAACAGGCGGCTTTTTCATTTGGCTTTTAGGTACTTGGATGTCTGTAAAGCACTTTTTTTTTTTTTTTTGCGTTATGCGGGCCTCTCACTGTTGTGGCCTCTCCCGTTGCAGAGCACAGGCTCCGGACGCGCAGGCTCAGCGGCCATGGCTCATGGGCCCAGCCGCTCTGTGGCATGTGGGATCTTCCCGGACCGGGGCACGAACCCGTGTCCCCTGCATCGGCAGGCGGACTCTCAACCACTACGCCACCAGGGAAGCCCTGTAAAGCACTTTTTAAATCGCTTACTTCCCCTACTTGCCCAGACCCTAAATATCGGAGGAAGAAGCACATGTTTAATCCATGGCGTGGACGGCCCTGTGAGAGTCACTCTGAAACCTGACATGCTGCCAGAGGGCCCCTCCAAGGGCAGACCCCTTTCCTAACCTCGGTGGGGTGGGGCTTGTGGGGTGCCTGCCTGGCCTGAACCCTACTTCCCAGAGGGCAGCCCAGAGCCCAGGCCCTCCCACAGAGAGGCAGGGTCCCCACCCCACTGGCCGCTGAGGCCTGGGGTGGCGCCTGACTGTGCCTTAGGGAAAAGCTCTAGGGTCCTGGGCCTCCAGTTGCATTTGGACTCTGCCATGTAATCCTAACACTTGCCAACTAAAACTTGTCAACCGCCATCTGCCTCTACGAGGATTAGGTCACTAGCTCCTGTAGCCGCTGACCTTCGACACACCCTGAAAGGAGTTCAGGGTGGAGATCAGGAATGAGGCACTCTGTCCTCTGGGAAAAACAGGCAGAACAGGCAGATATTTTTAGGAGAAGATTTTATGAGCCCAATTCTTGCATCTTCTCTTATCTAGAAAAGGACTAAAATCATTAATGGAGCCTAGCAGTAATGGTGACTAGCAGTAACCTTCACGAGACGAGCAGCAGATCTCTGCCCAAATGTGTGTTTGACCACATGTACCCCCTTCACTAAGATCATATATAGTGCTGACCCTTCCCCTACCTCTTCAGAGCAGTTTCTCAGAGCTATCTGAAATGCTGTCTCCTGGGCTATAGTCCTCATTTTGCCCCAAAGAAAACTTAACTCGCTACTCTCATGTTATGCTTTTTTTTAAGTCGACACAATCATGAAAGCCCCTGATTTTCAGTGTTTGAGTGGAGGAACCAGGAGGCCTCCCCAGGCCAGGTCTGTCGTCTCCTAAGCCACGCCCCCCCCACCAGACACTCTCCCTCTGTAAAGCAGAGAGGAAAACAGAAACATCAACAACCTCAGAGTTGTGCAAGAGAGCGTCCAGCAAGTACACACTCCCTGAACAGTAATCAGCGTCACCACCGCCAGCACCGTTCCTGTGCACCCCTCACCCGTACCCAGGAGAATGCTTACCCCCCTCCTCTGCTCCCCACGGGCCTCTCTCCTCCTTCTCTGCTCCCAGCCCCCGCACTGGCTCCAAGCATGAGACATCAGGACCCTGGGGCATGTGCACAATCAATTCTTTAATCATTTTGGAAGTGGGCTGACAGCAGCCCCGCAGAGCCCTCGCCAGCTGCTATGCCGCAGTCGGCTCTGGGGCAGCAGCCCCGATGGAGTAAAGAGTGGAAAGCTAGGGTCAGGGCCACAGAGCTCTCCTTGCGGGACCCCCATCCCAGAGCAAGCGGTACTCACAACGCCAGCGGCCGGTGGCCTCCTCCTGCCAAGGAGTCAGATGCTCACGCCCTCCAGCCTATGAGTGGCCTTCATGGGACACCTGCGGGGCCAGGTGGGGCCAGACCTGGGCAGACAGACCTGCTGCGGAAGGTGCTGGGCTCCCTGCTCCAGGGTGGGTGGTAGTTTAGGACCCCCGCAGGGGTGGTGGCTGTGGCGATCCGGGGACAAGTGCACAAGAGGAGGCAGCAGGGTCAGGCGTGTGCCTGTTACAGGGATGTCGGGAGGGAGGGCAGAAGCCCAGGAAGTGTGGGAGGCAGCTGGGGTGGTGAGCCTGGGGTCTACCAGCCAACCAGCCTCAGCTCGATGGTTTCTCCATCCCTGGGTCTGTAGTCAGCAATACCTGCAGAAATATTGTGGGCTGGGAGTTAACAGGGCGGAGTGTTCCCCCCACCAACCTCACCTTCTGGACCCCTGCCCTGAGGCCACGGTCTGTAAGATGGGCTCAGGGCTTGGTGGAGGGAGACTGGGGGCCTGTCCAGAGCCAGTCTGGAGACTCTGAACTCAGTTGTGACCTCAGGGTCGCTGAGACCCACAGGCTCATTTTGCAGTGGGGGACCCCCAGAGGGTGTGGGAGGGTATGGGACAGCACGCCGGAAAACCAACATGGGGCCAAAAGAACCAGAGACCCTGACAACACCTGACCAGCAGGGTCACTGTCTTCATAGTCCCCCAAAGGGCCATCAGGAAGAGGGACCTGCTCGGTGTGGTCTGGGGACCATGAGTGAAGTGAGCCTTTGCTCACTAGGGACAATCCAGGCTCCAGCACGACACCTTGGTCAAGCCCCAGCTCTGCACTCACTAGGGGTGTGACTCTGGGCAGGTTATTTAACCTGAGTGCTGGTGTTCCCATTTCTAAAATGAGGATAATAGTGATATCAACAACCGGGCCCTCCTTTTTCCCCATGGGAGTGGGCTTCCTGCTGGAGTGGGAGTTGAAGGGGGTAGGTAGAGGACACGACCATCCATGTCTGCCTCATGGCCGAGTCCATTGGGCTCTCCCTCTCGGCTACCTCCTCTGTCCAGTCTTCCTCAGTAATAGAGGCCAGATCTGGTCTCTCCATCTGTCACCTCTTGGTTTTATTTCTCCATTTGTCCAGAAGCCAGGCAGGAAAAGAGAATGCTTTTTACTGGGCTCCCTCAGCAAGTCCCACCTTCTGTAAAGCAATTGGCCCAATGCCCGGCCCATGGCAAATGCCCACTAGAAGTTTCAGGTAGCAGGAGTGGGGACAGATGACCCTTAAGAGTCTGTCTGGTAACTGGGCTGATGCTCAGGGATGCTTATGACAGCTTGGGGCATAAGAGTTAAAACTGGAGACACCCTAAAGGTCCAGCAGGAGTTGATAAGCTGTGGTCCACCCATCCCACTCCACGCCAGGGCTGGGCCCTAATTGGCCTAAGCCAGTCTTGCCATGGTCCCTTCTCTCTAGCCAATGATGGGCGCAGAATCTGGGCCATCTCCTAGCAACAGGGATGGGTCCAGGAACGCGCCTGTGTCCCAAGTCCACCTTCAGGATGCCAGGAGACATTTGCTGGGGGTTTCAGAGACAAGTTTCCCAAGTCATAAAAGGGAGCAGCCCCAGGAAGACACAGAGTAGCCTCTCTGGAGGTAGGAAGCCAGCAAAGAGAGGAGGAGAGTCACAGGGAGGTGGGGCTGAGGCTGAAGTCCTTGCTCCCACTGGAATCTGGTCACATGAGCCAATGGATGAGCCAATGGATGTCGTGGAAACTAGTTTGTATTACATTTCTGTTACTTGCAGCCCAAAGCACCCTGCTGAATGAGATATCCTATGTGGCTATTACAAAGAAAGGGGAAGACCTACATATACCAACATAGAAAGATGGCTACAATATGTTACAGCTGAAAAAAATAAATTGCAAAACAGTATATAGAGCTGTGCCATTCGATATGCCAGCCATCAGCCACATGTGGCTACTGAGCACTTGAAAAGTACAAAAACCAGGCATGCAAAATATGTCATTAATAATTTTGCATTGATCACATCTTGGAATTATATTTTGGATGTATTGGACTAAATAAGACATATTATTAATGTTACTTTCACCAACTTCAGAATTTAGAGTTACACATGTGGCTCACATTTTATTTCTATCAGAGAGCACTGCTATAGAGTATGGCTTCATTTCTATGAAAAAACAAACGTACATATTTTAAGAATTATCTGGAAGAAAATACACCAAAAGTTAAAAGAAGTTATTTCTGGGTAGTGGATTACGAGCAATTTTAATTTTCTTAGTTTTTGCCTATCTGCTTTCCTAGAGTTGCCACAATAACGTATATAAAAATTCTTCAGAATACAGTTAAATATATTATATGCAAACTTGAGCATCAGTGGTTATCTGAGGCTGAGGCCCAGGAAGGTTCAGGGGAAAGCTGGCGTGAGTCGACAAAGCCTCAGTGCTGGGACAGGGCTGGGCTGGGGGACACGTCCAGAGGGGGCTGGCCACCAGACTCACCTTGCAGCAGGGGGGTGTCGGGGGCTCGGAGGAGTTGCCAGAACTCACGTTCCCCAGCTTTGTTCCCCATCACAGAGGTCAGGTAGGGGCCTGACAAGGAGGCCTGTGTTGCATACCTACCAAAGCGACAGGCAAAGAGGGAGGAAAGGTGACTTTTGCTCCCCTCGACCCAAGGGCAGAAGTAGAACCACCCACACAAGGCAAGTCCTGCCCTCGCTCTCAGGGCAGCGCTAGCCAAACCCTTCCTGGGCCACCTCACCATGGGTCTCTCCTCCACGCCTCCTCTCCAGCCCGAAGGACACCGCCCACTCGGGGGACTGCATCCCCTCTGGGGGCTGACATTGCAGGGGGTGGGAATCAGAAGCTGAAAACGGCCCACGAGAGACAGGGAGGCCAGCGTGAGAAAGAAGCAGGAACAGGCAAGACAGAGGCAGAGACGCCCAGTGGTGGCTCTGGGTCTCTGGTTCCGTAAGTTTCTGTGGCTCAGGGGCACCCCCATCCTTATGGCTGGGTTGCTCAGTCTTCTCTCCGACTGTACACACCCCATGCTCCCCACTACCAGAGAGGCTTGGATTAGATTCCTGGCTTTTGCAACCAAGAGACTCCTTCTTCACGCCACCCCTCCCTGACGCCACTGCCACAAACACAAAGGGATCCCAGATCCTAGTTCCCGGACCAGGGATCAAACCTGCACCCCCTGCAGTGGAAGCCTGGAGTCTGAACTACTGGACCGTCAGGGAAGTCCCCAAAGGGATCCTCTTAAAACACTGTGGCCCTGTCCTTCCTGTCTCCTTATCAATGGTGGTGTTCTTAGAGAGGGAGGGTTTTCGTAGTTTTAAGAAACAGAAATACCCTCAGGGTGACCTGGTCAAAGGGAAGGTTTTAGGCAGCAGCCCGTCCCCAGTCCTCCCTTAAGTGCGGGGCCACATGGCTGCCCGGAGAACCGCTCTGGACCAGCCTCTCTCCGTTTCTCTCTCTCCTCTTTCTGTCTCTTTCTCTCCGTCTCTCTCTCTTTTCCTCTCTCTCCTTCTAGAATCCAGCTTTCTCTGCTGTGCACTTACATGCCTCAAATGTGCCTCCACACCCCCTCCACCACCAAGAGAATTATTTCTCAGATTGGTATCCCTGACGTTTTCTCAGAGGTCCTGGAGTTCTGAATAAAAATGTTAAGTTCAAATTTTTTTCCATTTTGATGACAATATCCAAACACGAATACCAGCAGGTTCTAGGTAATCCCAGGGCCTGCCGGACTAAGGCCTCCCAAGGGTGCCCAAGGGTGTGTGGCCCCCAGAGGACTGAGGTCGGCTTGGTAATAAGTGGCATGTTCGGGGCCAGGGAAGAGTGTACAAGCTGCAGCTGCCTGTGCAAACTCCGCCTGACAGCAGCTCAAACCCAAGAAAGTGCTGAGCACGTCGGGCTCACTGGCACTGGTGTGTACACCTGCTCCTCAGCAGACAGTCCCTATTTGAATGTTATTGGTTTCACAGTTTTCTTTGTACTTAATTTGCAAAGCTATTTAGGATTTATAGCCGTCTAAGAGCCAAAAAGAGAAAGGACTTTAAATAGTAAACATTAGTACACATCTAAGTCATATTATTACAGAAATAACCTGGGGTCTGGGAGAATTTTCAGCCTTTATAGGGGTTTTTGCATATCTCTGGCCTGAAATTCCCTGCCCCAGATGACCCCAAGGTGCCAGCTGTGGGTCCTCCCTGGCAGCAGGATGCTGTCCTTTGGGGGCTCCAGTTGGGAACGGAAATTGGGACCCTCTCAAACTGAGGCACATTTTTCTAGAAGAGAAGTCTGGGGTCTAGTGGGGTCTGGTGGAAGGTACTCATTCTCTGGGCCAGATCCCCATTGGTGATCCCTCCCATCTTATTTAGGCACAGACACAGCTGGCACAGAGCAGTGCTCTGGAAATGCTTGTCCTCAGATCTGTCAAATCTCAGGGTGAGAAGCAAGTTTAAGGCTGTTGTCCCACCTCCACATTCTGCAGAGGGCTTGTTGCCCAGGTAATTAAATAATCACAGGGATTAGACCAAGATCGTTTGATAATAAAAATTCTTATTCTTCTGAAAGCTAACATGTATCAAGCACTTCTAAGTGCGGGACCCTGCACACAAAAAGCATGTACCATGTCCTCTCTGCGCACTAATTCCTGGACTCCTGCATGGTCTCTGGTGGATGCGGGGAGCACAACTGCCATCCTCATGAGCTGCAGGAAAATAACTGGCCTGGTCCCTAGCTGGACAGAGGCGGAGCTGGGATTCCAGATGTGGAGGGTTTGCCTCGGGAGCCTGCTCTCCTAATCATGATGCCTGTTTCCGCCACAGCGTGGGTGAGTCGGCAGCGGAGAAGGTGGAGGAGAGCCCGGGCCTCTCCCAAGGGAACCCTCTCTTCATCCCTTGCCCCATCCACGTCCCATTTTGGGGATGTGGGGTCGAGTCGGGTGAGGGCTGGGAGATGCGGGGGGTGGGGGGGCAGTCTCACGTGAATCTGCTGTGCTCCTGGGCCTTCTTCAGGACATCTTCCAAAGAGGAGCTGACAGGGACAGAGACGGAGTGTCTGTACGAAAGAAAGGTGCTGGAGACCTTCAGCGTGACATGGATGAACTCTGGGACTTGGGTCTGTGAAGGGGTCTCCGTAGCTGGTTCCAACAGGACTGTGCCAGGGAGAGGGGAAGGGGCAGCTGATCTGAGGGCAGGGGGCAAGGCCTTAGTCCTCCTTTCTTCCCTGGAAGACACTGTGGCCCATCGAGACCTCCTCCTTCCCCTCGGTCCCATTCCGGTCAACACCACCACCATCTGGCTGCCTTCCCAGCCTCCCGTCTCTCAGCTCCCACCACCCTCGCCACCCAAGGTCAGGCCCCTCACTGGTTTTTCTGCCTCTAGTACCCCCCTCCCACCTCTCTGCCACAAGCACCCCCCACCCAGGGTTATTTCTAGAACATACATGTTACCTCTGAGGGCCTCCCCTCCTTTTCACCCTCCTGCCTGCCACTCCAGCTCATTCTCTCAAACCCCACTCTTTAGTGAGACCCCTCCCCCCAACTCCAGTCTTGTACACCTCTGAGCCTTTGCCCTTGCTGCCCCCTCCCTGCTCTGCCTTTCCTCCCCTCTTCTCCACTGGCAAATCTCACCCACCCACCCCAGTCCCTCTCCCAGATGAAGCCCTGATTCAAGCAGCTAACTGGGACTCATTATGATGTATCAGAGCTAACAGAAATGTGTCTCTCGCCATTCATTCATTCGAACACTTCTGTACTGGGTATCACACAAGGGGCTGGAGATTCATGGCCTGCCCAGAGCTCACCATTTGATATCTCCCTCCCCACACTGTGAGCTTCTAGCATCTGTGACTGCATTCTAGCTGCCTGTGTGTCCCATGCACACCTGCAAACCCCTGTTGACTCAGCAAATCAAGATGGAGCAAGTTCCCTTCCTGGGACAGGCAGACCTCATTGCAGATTGAAAAGAGCAGGGCTTCTATGAAAGGCCCGGCTACCTCTTGGTGCCTCACAGTCTGGAGAGATGAGATCCACATAGCTCTTCTGGTTCAGGATGGGCAGCAGCTGAGAAATCATGAGAGGGTTCTGGAAGGCCTTGTGCTGTAGGCTGGCCAACAGAGCAGCCTTGGCCTTGAGGCATGCTGTGCCCAGCTCCACCGTGGGCCTAAGGGAGGCCATCAGCAACTGGTGATGGAATGGGGAAGAGGAGGTGGGTCAGCCAGCGGGGAGGGGCCAGGTCTTCCAGCATTCCACCAGTCCACCTCCCACCAGCCACCAGGGTGGAGCCCAGCCCAGAGTCTCCTTCCCACCTGCAGTGCCAGAGGGGTGCTGTAGACATTCCCAAAGTGGCCCTCTGGGGTCTGGGCCTTTAGGATCTTCTCTTGCACTCTCCCGAGGGCCACAGTGCTCCGGTTTCTCAGATTGCGGTTGAGGTTGGATAGCTTCAGACAGGAGAAGGCCAAGCCCGCCATGGCCAGTGTGTCTGCAAGGGACAGAGCCAAGTGGGGTCAGCCCGGGCAGGACCTTGGGGCAATGGGCAGCCACAGGAGGGCTGGAGGTAGGGGGACAATATGGTCAGAGCAGCATTTCAGAAAGTTTCCACCAGCTAGGGGGACCAACAACCTAGTCTTCCCAGTTTCCAGGATGGCAAACTGGGATGGGTGGTCACCGTATCCCTGTCTGCTGCCTGGGGGTTAGAGGTTGGGGAGAGAGACTGGAGGAGGGAGGGCCAAGAGGACTTTAGCCTACACACTTGTTCCCAAACCTGCCTGCACTTTAGAATCACCAGGGGAGTTTGTTTGATTTTTCTTTTTTTTTTTTTCTTTTTTTTCTGGCCGTGCTACACAGCTTGTGGGATCTTAGTTCTCCAACCAGGGCTCAAACCTGGGCCCTCGGCAGTGAAAGCACAGAGTCCCAACCACTGGACTGCCAGTGAATTCCTCACCAGGAGATTATTAAAGGAGCAGGTGCCTGGGTCCACCCCCAGGTGGTCTGGTTTATTAGGTCCAGGGAGCTGCTTGGGCCCTGGGGGGTTTTAAGCTCCCTACCCTGGGATGATTTAATGTGTCCACGGTGGGTTTTCTATAAGCCTCTGAGGCAGAACAAGCTCTCTGCTGGCAGGGGCCCTGCTGCCTTCTTCTCTCTGGGTACCTACCCTCCCCACCTCCAACCTACTCCATCCTACCCCGCCCTATGCGAGGCACACACACTCACAGAACACAGCCAGGCCTAGAAGAGACCTTGCAATCATGATGACAAGAAAGGGCACTGGAAACCCAAGGTCACACAGTGAGGAAGCAGATCCAGTATCCAGGCCTCAGGCCTCTCAGCTCATTTGATGAGAACATCATAGCTGTGTATCCAGGACTTTCTCCATGCTGAGCACCATGCTATGCCCTTTACATGTAAAGCATCTTTTACTGAGATGCTGCTGGGGTGTTATTTTATCAGAGAAGCTGAGCCAGAAAGGCCAGCTGATCTGTCCAGGGTGACCCACAGTAAGTATGTGATGGAGGATGGGGTCAGGAAGCCAGTCCAGCCCCAGCGCTGGCTCGCAGCCCTTGCACCACAACAAACCCTCACCATTGCGCTCCTAGTGGACTCGATAGGAGGGGTCCCAAGGAAAGGTGAGCATGGGACCAGAGGTGGAGGCCTTCATTTGGGGCCGGGGGCTGGAGGAGTGCCAGCCTGGCCTTCAGGGTCTGGCCCACTCACCCACAGGGAGGTGGCCCTGCTGGAGATGCTGTTTGTGTTCCACAGCATACAGGAGCTTGCCCACCACGCTGTCATGGACCCGCTTCTGGTGGACACACAGGGCCAGGATGCCCAGGCCGTACTGGTAGTAGCTGGTGTGAGGGTGGCCCTGGTGATTATGCCCTGGGAGGGAGAAAACCACAGGGTGGGGCTGTCATGCTGGGCTTGAGGAGTGACCTCTCTGTCCCCTCCCAGCAACCAGCACAGCCAGCACTGGACCCATTGCCTGTACTTCCCGACACCGTCCTTTGGGTCGTGGGATCCATCTTTCCTTCATTCCCTTGACTCATACTTGCTGAAACCCCACTAAGTGTCAGACGCTGTGCTTGGAGGTATGAACAGTGATGACAGGCCAGGCACAGTGCAGCCAGGGCCTCCGGAAATAACACAACCCACGATCACGAGATCGTGATTATAACTGAACTGTGGACCGAGGTCCACGTGGCCAAATAACAGAGGTCTTTGAGTAGCTGGGGAGTCGGGGAAGGATTCTCTGAGTCAGGGATGCTGGGGAGAAAGGGCGGGAGAGAGGTAAAGGTGGAGTAGGAGTGAGCTAGAAGGGGAAGGAAACCTTCCAGATAGAGGGAACATATGTCAAGACGCTGGTTTGTGAGCTGAGAGAAGGCCAGGGTGGCCGGAGCCCACGGAAGGGCGGGCGAGTGGGTGAGCCAGAGGGTGGGTGGGCAGGACTGGGCCTGAGGGCTGTGACCACAGCAGGCAGCAGCTGCTGGAGGATTTAAGCAGCGCTAACAAGATCAGATTTATATTTAAAGGCTCGCTCTGTGTGTGCCAGATTGAGGTAGGAGGCAGGAAAGTTAGTGGAGAGAGGTAAGGAGTGAGTAGTAGGGAGGCTGTGCAGCTGTCCCAGGGGTGGGTAATCAGGCCAGTCTTGGTGGGTGAGCAGCAGGGCTTGCCAACAGAGTGTATGTGGAATGCAGGAAAGGCTTGATCAAGAATGGCTACCGGGACAGGCCCAAGCCTCTAGCAGATATGGAGACAGGCAGAATGGAGGGCAGGAAAGAGGCCTGGGGAGAAAACCCGAAGTTCTAATGTAGACGTTTCACCAGACAATGTTGTCTGATGTGCCCTCCCCCACACCGGCAGACCTCGCCTCCTCACCAATGGCCCCCTTCTCGTCCTCCAGGAATCGCTTCAGCTGTGAGACCAGGCTGTCCCCCTTGCAGCCTCTAACAAACTCGCAGTTGGCCCGGAGAGCGAGCAGGTAGAGGGCCAGCTGGCCCATGGAGGGCTTGGCCTCGGAGTCACTGTTGTCATTGCTGGAGGCAGACATAGGACAACGCCAGTTAACAACACTTCAGTGAGAAAGTGCCACCCTGGTAAGCCTGGCTTGGAGTGCCCCCCCACCACCACTACAAAGCGGAAAAAAAATCCTAGCAGTTGGAACGTTTCCAAGACCTGCCAAAAGCAGATGTAGTCAGTTATGTAAGTTGTGTATGTCACGCTTATTTCATAAAGATGAGAAATTAAACTCAAGGATAAACTCTGAGGGCTCTTGCATCCAAATGACCTGTTTGCCGCACCATTTTGGTCACACTTCACCCATACACTCTCCCCTTTCTTTCCTCTCCCTGCCCTGCATCCACTTCTCAAGAGGGAGTCCAAGCAGGAGATGCTCCATGGTGGTCCTGACCCTTCACCTCTCATTCAGACTCCTGTGCTGGACCTCAGAACAGGCTTCCTCTTAATGCCCCTGGAAAGGGAGCACGGATAGTCCAATACTGCTGCTGGGCTCAGTATGAAAGAGTGTGGCCATGGATTAGTAATGTCTGCCTCAGGTACCGGAGGGTACAGTAGCCGCCCAAGGGCCCCAGATTGGCATCTCCAGTCTAGTCGGACCAACCCCATTCCACAGATGGAGAAAGGCCCAGAGGAGATGAAAGTTGCCCTAAGGTCTCCCAACAAAGCAGTGACAGGCCCAAACCGGAACACAGATCTCCTGTCTCTTAGGATGTGGAGCACGCCATGGGGAAAAGAGGAGAGAGAGCATGGCCAGACCTCAGGAGGCTCTGCTGGTAGCTGAGCTTGAGGCTGTGCAGGTAGTGGGCCTCCTTGGCCCCAGCCTGCAGGCTGGAGAGGCGCAGGCCCACGTAGATACTGGGGTTCAGCTGCTCCGGGGAGAGCCGGTCCATCCAGGGCAAGAGGCGCTGGCCCAGCCTCTCCACCAGCGTGCTGTCCACCTCTGTTATTTCTTAGGAAAGAGAACAGGCCAAGTGAGGTCGCAGGGCCATGCCACCAGTGACACCTTACCAGGGTCTTCTCCAGGGAATAAACATCCCCACCTTACTGTCACCTGGCACACACCCTACTCGTATGCGGAGTCCGACTGTAACAAGAGGCAGCGGTAACAGGAAAAGCCGGTATCCTGAAAGAGTGGCCGGAGTGGGCCAGGGAGAGCTGGTGGGCCCAGGGCAGAGGAAGCGGGTGCCAGGCAGCCACTCTGCCCATCAGGAGTGACAGAGAGACTGGATGCCGAGCAGCGTGGGGTGCCGCAGGCACTGCACCCCACCTCCCTCGGTCCTCAGGCCAGCTCTGTGACGTAGGTACTGTCATCATCGCATTGCACAAAAAAGGAAACAGAAGTCCAAAGTGTGGGAGTGTTCTACCCATTTACAAAAACTTCAACTCACACAGGGAACAGGTTACAGAACCAGTTTTAAAACAGAAATAGAGTCACAGATGTAGAAAACAAACCTACGGTTACCAGGGGTGAAGGGGGGCGGATAAATTAGGAGACTGGGATTGACATATACACACTACTATATATAGAATAGATAAGTAATAAGGACCTACTGTATAGCACAGGGAACTCTACTCAATACTCTGTAATGACCTATATGGGGAAAGAATCTTCAAAAAACGTGAATATATATGTATAACTGATTCACTTTGCTGGATACCTGGAACTAACACAGCACTGTAAATCAACTATATTCCAATTAAAAAAAAAACAAAAACAAAAACACTGCAGCCTGCCCACTGGCTAACTGGGGCTGCCTGGTGAACTTCCTCTGGGCAGATCTCAGAATAACGCTTTCCCTGCCCCCTCAGTTTAGGTGAAAAGGACCTGAGATTGTGAGGTGAATTGTTAGAAAGCCATCATCCTTGTGTGCTTCGGGATTTCCCCACGAGGGAAGCAGAAGCCCTTAGGGGTGTTTCCCAGCTCCAGCTGACTGGCGCTTTCCTCCCGAAGGGAGGGAACCTGAGCTGAGTAGGTGGCCTTGGAGCCACTTTAGACTTTTCCCCATTTACTGCCTCCCAGTTGCTGTGGGGCTCCAGCTGCTGGGCAGGTCGCCCCTCCCAGGGGACGGAGCAAAGGAACTGGGGAGGGGGCTGTTTCTCTTTTCCTTTCTCTTTCTCAGTGCTTTTCTGTGTGCCTGCCCCCATTTCTGTAGGAATCTCTCTCTCTCTCTGGATCTATCTCATTCTCTCCATCTCTCAGCCTGTCTCTCTCCTTATCTCTCCCTCCACAGTTCTCTTTTCCTCTCCCTTTTCTTCAAACTGGAGAGGGAGCCCCGCCCCCACCTTGGGCTCTGACCTCCAGCGGGTGAGTCAGCCCTGGGATTAGCAGGATAGGAAGAGGAGCTGGTGCTGTAAAGAGAGGTGGGTAAACACAGTTCAGCTTCCTTAGCAGGAAGGAGCTGCTAAGGTTCACCCAGGGTAATAAAAGTGAGCCTGGGCGAGCTCCCTCCCCTCAGGGCCTCCAGCTCACAGGGCCGCCCAGCTCTGCCTGCTGAGGACTGGCTTTGACAAGAGGAAGCACGGAAGCCCATCCTGCATGGGCACTAGTGCAGATCTGTGTCAGTTTCACAGCCACACAGGGCTTGAACCTGGTAAAGCAGGTGGTGGGATCCTTGCATCACACCAAGGAGGAAGGCAGGGGAGCATTCTTAGCCCATTTTATAAGTGAGTGAATGAGACTGGGAGTGACTAAATGGCCCAGCAGCAGTGGGCTGCACCCCCGAACCCAGTCCAGGGCTCTTTTGGGGTCAGGCCTATGGACCAACTGTTGAAAGGTTCATACCCACTGAGGGTGCCGGGTCTGCCCTGGGGACTGCCTGGACAGGAACCAAGAGCCAAGGGCTGAGGGGTCTGGTGGCACTTGTGGAACACGCCGGGCGGGAGGCTCCTGGTGCCTAGGGAAGACCGTGACCTGGAGTTCTGAGAACTGAGTCCAGCAAAGCCCTGGAAAGCTGGGGCGCCTTGGGCAGGTCACCTGGCCCCTTCAACCCTTGACTGCTTCATGAGTCACCTGCACACGACTGAACCTGCCTCTCGGTTTCTGCAAGGGTCACAGGAGACCCTGCTGGTGTAGGCAGAGCGAAATGCTGTGGGCAGAGGACGACCAGGAATGAAGAGAGGCGGGCGGCCCACCTTCCCTTCCTGCCTCTGCTTCCCGTGGGGCTCCGGGGCACGAGCAGCCCTGAGCCTGTGCGCTCCAACTCCCAGACAGGTCCCAAGAGTTCCTGAGATACTCCCAGGGGCACCGGAGCAGGCAGGCCCCTGTATGGAACGTAAAGCAAACGCCTTGCCGCCACCGTGACCCGCCAGGGTCTCCACACGCTCGCTTTCCCTCTGCCGGGGTGCCCGCCCCTCACTCCTTTCCTTGCCAGCTCCTTTTCCTCTTTCGGGTCTTAGTTTCTGCATCACTCCCTGGTCCTTGGAAATCCTTCCCACCCCTTCTCCCTGAATTGGCATTCCCCCACCCCCTCCAGGCCTTGGGCTTCCTTTGGCACTCATCACAGCCCCCAACACAGCACTGACTTGCCTCTTGACCACCATCCCCTTCACTAGAATGGAAGCTCTAGGAGGGATGGGGGGAGACCTGTCTTGCTCTTTGTTCTTTCCCCAAAGCCTAACATGGTGCCTGGCAAAGAGAAGGCTCAATCAATGTGTATTGAATGAATAAATGAACAAATGACTGAATTAATGGAAGTGATCTTGTCTGGCGGCGAGTCAGACATACAATTCATCTCAATAAAATGTGCTACAACACTGAGGTCCAGCTAAGTCCAAACTGCTGTGGGAGCCCAGAGGGGCAGCTAAGTCATCCCTGCCACACACACACATCTGAGCCTGTTTCTCCAGCTATATAATGAGGGGCTTCGACAAGACGGTCCTCTCTCCTAAGGACCCAGCAGGCAAGAGGCACGGAGTAGATCCAGGTACTCACCGCAGATCTGGGCGAGAGCTCCCAGGCCCCCAAGCAGGAAGAGGAGGGCCCCAAGGCACCCCATGGCAGGAGCAGGGGTAAGCAGCAGGCGGGGAGCAGGACAGATTCCTAGGGCTGGCCTGGCAGAGGCTCTCCTGACTACAGCAGTCACTGCTCCGAAAGAGGCAGCTTCCTGTCACTGATTAATCCGTCCACGCCCGGCGGCACGCTGCTAAGTCAGCAGAGAGAAAGGGGAAAAGGTCTGTAGCTGAGGGGAAAGGAAGGCCAAAGAACAGAGGAAGGAAGGGCAGGGCAGAGCAGGCCTTCCTGGAGGTCGGGGACAGGGGGAGGGGGAGGGCAAGCAGTGGTGGTGTGCGACATTGCGAAGCCAACCACATTCTGTCCCTGCTGCCCAAAGAGCCCTGGACCAGCACAGGAGGTCTGACTTCTGATCTGCCCAAGTCTGTCCGACCACTCCTGTCCTGTATCCCCTTGGCTGTTCCAGCGGTGGACGGGCAGGGCTGGGGTGCCTACCTGGTACCCCTCCCAGAAGGAGACCCTGAAAGTGTCCACTCTGGCCTGGGACAGGGAGCAGGACAGGGAGCTGCGACGGTCACATGAGCAGCGGCTGGAGTCAGCTGTTCTCTGCCAGCCCGCCCCGGCGGTGGGGCGGGGGTGGGGGTGTGTGGAGTGCAGCCGAACCGGACCAGACAGGCCAGTTTTCTCAGCCGACCAGAAAGCTGGGAGCCTCCTGGAGACAAAACAAAGCCATTAATGAACAAGACTTAATCATCTGAGACACAAAGCCATGGTTAGCAGGGCCACTTGTCAGGACTAAGAAAGTAACCTAAAAAAACTCTCTTCAAGGAGGAGAGAGAACAAAGGATTCCCCACCTGCCTAGGTCCACAGGAGAATCTATGTCCAAGAGTTAGCTCTGGAGGTGCTGTGTTACCTTGGCCAGGTGACTTAACCTCTCTGAGTTTGAAAGAGTTTCTCCTGTGTGAGCTGAAAGGGTTAGAGAAGATCATTCTAATTAAGCTCCCTTCCAGCTCAACTTGTGAAGATGTTACGACCTTAAAACATCTCTAATCACTTCTAAATAAAATTTTTACTGCAATCATTTTATGGCAAATTGCCACAGTTCAGTCTTTCAAGATAATCCAGTTTTGTGCCTGACTTATCACAAGCCAATAAATACAGACATAAATAAATAGAGACTGCATCTGTTTACGGAAGTACCTTATAAATATAAAATTAGATCGTCTAGTGCAAGGAGGCTGGGCATGGCCCATCAGGGTGAAGTTCCAGGGAAGGAGGGATGCCAGCTAGAGGCCCAACTTCTGCAGATTCTTGGGTTCAGACTTCCACGGGGGCCTTGGAAATTTGTGGGCAATGGAGCTGCCTTGGTTTGGGATGGGACTGCCCCGCTCCCCAACCCTCTGCCTGTGGCCAGTGTCAATGATTCTGTTTCCTGCCACCTCCAGGACAGCAGCCTCTGGTGAGAAGCAGCTTCCTTGGGAGAGTCACCTCTGATCCCTGAGGACTCGAATGTACCACAGTGACCAGTGGGGACGAGGTGCATTTCCATAGCTATCAGAAACAGAGTGACTGATTGGGGGTGGAACTGGACTGTTTCAGGTAATGCAGTCAGGGGAAGTGAAAAAGAAAAACGACTAAATCATTTGGTTCAGGACTTCTGTTTGGGGGTCTATAGCTGAGAAAGTAAAGATTAGCTTGGAATGAGCAGGTAAAAGTTTGCCTGTCCAGACAGGCACAGACAAAGCCAGCTGCAATGTAAAAAGGAAACATTATTTCTCCCAAGGTCACGTTACAACAACTGTAAAGTGTCCCGATAACCATGCTGTGTGAGTGACTATTACTTGTACTTTTTTACAGGGATTTCTTTTTTCCCCTACAATCACAAACTATCAGGAATTTGCTGCCTGAAATTATGTTAGTAAGAAAGAAACAACCCCAGAGGCGCCAAGTCACTTTGACACAGAGAAGTTGCCCCAGTATGGAATTCCTGGACTCAACATTCCATGCCTGTCTCAACTTTGTAGTTTCCTCTTACACAGGATACTTTGCTGTCCAAACCTGAAGCTGACACTTCTCACGCAGCCCTGTGCTGTGCTGAGCCTATCAAAATACTGCTTGGTTGGGACTTCCCTGGCAGTCCAGTGGTTAAGACTCCACATTTCCACTGCAGGGGGCACAGTTTCGATCCCTGGTCAGGGAACTAAGATCCCACATGCTACGTGGCACGGCCAAAAAAAAAAAAAAAAAAAAAGCACTGCTTGGTTTACATTTCACCTAACCTAACCCCACTCTTCACCCAAATCCTGTAATCACCTTGCCCTCTGTGTAGTCAGATGCCCTCAGTTCCTCCCCCTCATTGCAGTGGATCAACTGAGCTGACTGTCAGACTAAAGGTTTGTTCTTGGTGGTCTCAGGACAACTGGACTAGGATACAGCCTAAGAAAGAATCCAACAGGAAAAAAATTAAATTTTATGCATGAACAAGGATATATTGTACAACACAGGGAATATAGTCAATATTTTATAAGAACTATAAATGGAGTATAACCTTGAAAAATTTTGAACCCCTATGTTGTACACCTGAAACTTATATAACATTGTACATCAAGCATACTTCAATTTTTAAAAAAAAAAAGGTGAAGTGAAAAAAATTGTATGTGTGAAGGTGGCATGAGAAGAATAAATACATGGCTGTATCGTTACATATGGAAAATCCATTTTCTTAATTAAAAATGTAAATATATTAAAATCTTAGACTCCATTTAACGTAGAAAGATGTTCATAATTAATCTTAAATTTTAAAAATTATATAAGTAAGATATGTGGATTGCATGAAAAATCAGAAAATGTGTTAAGGGAGAAGAAGGAGGTAGAGGAAGAAGAGGGAAAGAAAAACCAGAAAATCACTGATAGTCCCATAACCCAGAGGATTGTTCTCAAAGTGTGGTCTGTGGATCCCTGGAGGCCTCCAAGACCCTTTTAGGGGGTCTGTGAGTTCAAAATTACTTTAGAAAATACTAAGACATTATCTGCCTTGTTTGCTTTTTGGGTATTTGCACTCATGGTGTAAAGCAGTGGCATCTAAAACTGCTAGTGTCTTAGCAGGAATCAAGGCAGTGACACCAAACTGTACTAGTAGTCACTGTATTCTTTACCCCCGTGCACTCCAAGGTGGGGAAAACCTGGTTTCACTTAAGAATGTCCTTGATAAGGCCAAAAAAAAAATTATTAAATCTCAACAGCAACACCAAAAAAGGGGTCATCCCACAGACCTGGACTCTAGTTTTGCCTCTGTGACCTTTGGCAAGAGACACCTTTTCTAAGCCTGTTTCTTGTAAAATGGGCGTGTGGCACTGTGCTCATACGTTTCTCATGAGGATCAAATGAGAATGCTTATAAAATGCTTACCACCGGTGCCTAGTGTGTGGTTCGAGCTCATAACACTTTCAGCGCTTATCAATAACTATCTGTCAAAATCCAGGAAAGAATGTTACAGGGAACAGTCAGTGTCCACTTAGCAAGTTTCCAAATTCTAAGGATCTGGATTCCAGCTAAGTAAGAGAAAACAGCCTTGCATGTAACACAAGACTGTTGGACCATCTTAAGCCATGCAACTGAAGAGGTTCAGCTCCAGCCTCCCCCAAACACGCCATGGCATATGGATTCTTTTGAGCTAAAGGAAATCAAGACCCTGTGGGCTCAAGAGAAACATCTTTCCCTCCCTTAACTACCTGGAAGAACTTACATTGGAAGTCTCTCCCAAAATGAGAATTATTACCAGAGATGAATCTTATCTGAGTGACCCATCTGTGTGGCAGGGCAAATATCTAATTACCAAATGTTTGCTCTTTTGCTTCTTGTGCCTGTGAATTGCCCTCCTTCCTGTTGAAGCCCCAGGTCCCTATCCCATTCCTTAGCTCAGGATGGCATAAATACCTCATTTTACCTTTCTATCTTTGAACCTCTCATGTATGTGGGGTTCTCGTACTTACAAAATTAAATTTGATTTTCTGTTACTCTGTCTCATGTCAATTTGATCATCAGACCAGCCAAAAGAACCTTTGAAGGGTAGAGGAAAATTCTTTCTCCCCAGCATAAGGCTGGGAAATATCAAATGATGCTGTGGCAGGATTGGAGTAATCCTGTCCGACAGTCTTCCCCTCTTTCCCCTGCATTCCCCCTCCCTCTTCAAAGGCTAGCGGTCTTGACAGGACCTCAGGAGGGGACACACTGGATTCCTACTTGCAGGTCCCAGGAGAGCTGCTCAGACAGATCCTTGGAACTGTTCTGAATTTACAGGCGACTCTTGCAGAGGTCTGGGTCCAGCTTCAAAGTAAATATAGGGCTCATCTTCCTTTCCTTTGGCCACTTATCCAGCCAAGGAGAGTATTCCAGGCAGAGGGAACAGCATGTGTAAAGGCTGGAGGTAGCCGAGGAAAGAGGATCGGCAGGGGAACAGTGGAAGAGGCAATGCCTCCAGGTCCTGGTGATCAGAAATGGCAGAGCTAGGGACTTCCCTGGCGGTCCAGTGGTTAGGACTCCGTGCTTCCATTGCAGGAGGTGAGGGTTCGATTCCCAGTCGCGGGAACTAAGATTCCGTATGCTGCACGGTGCGGCCAGCAATGGCTAAGCTAGAAGGACACTTGGCATCTGACCAACTGAGCTCAGACGCAGAACATGCCCTTTACTTCTGTGTAGACTTGGGCGTGTTAATTTCTCAGCCTCTGTTTTTTTAATCTCTAAAGGGGTCATAACAATACCCACATGTGGGAGAGTTTTTATGAAGATTCAAGTAGGTCAAGAAACTGGCCTGCAGTCTATGTTCATGAAACAGATTCTGACTCAAGATATAAAAACTGAGTGGCCCCTGTACCAACGGACATACATCTTTTTCAATTAGCCCTCAGAACAGCTCCATCATCCTCCAGTTTGTTAATGAAGAAACTGAGGCTCTGAGGAGACAATTGACAGAGGTCATGGCAGGCAGTGGCCAAGGGACCTTCCTCTGCTGTTGCTCCTGCCTTTCTGGGAGCGCTTCCATTCCCACTGTTAAGACCTTCAATAATAATGAAGACTATGGGCTTCCCTGGTGGCGCAGTGGTTGCGAGTCTGCCTGCCGATGCAGGGGACACGGGTTCGTGCCCCGGTCTGGGAAGATCCCACATGCTGCGGAGTGGCTGGGCCCGTAAGCCATAGGCCTGTGCTCCGCAACGGGAGAGGCCACAAGAGTGAGAGGCCCACGTACCACAAAAGAAAATAAATAAATAAATAAATAATAATGAAGACTAAAGTGATTTATTATTATTATAAATAATATTTTAAAAACCAGCCTGGTACATGGCAGAAAAAAATGATATCTCTTTCATAATGTACTTCAAACCTATACCTCAAAGAATCCCAAAAGGGGAGGGATAAATCAAGAGTATGGGATTAACAGATACACACTATTATATATAAAATAGATAACCAACAAGAAACTACTGTATAACACAGGGAACTATACTCAATACTTTGTAATAACCTATAAGGGAAAAGAGTTTGAAAAAGAATATATATATATATTCAGTTATATATATATATATATATAACTGAATCTGTGCTGTATGCCTGAAACTAACACAACATTGTAAATCAACTATCCTTTAATAAAAAAAAAAAAAAGAACCCTGGAAAAAAAATTTAAAAAAAATCAAAGAAGTTCTAAATAAATGGAGAGGCATTCTGTGTTTATGGATTGGAAGACTCAATTTTATTAAATGTCAATTCTTCCCAACATGATCTATAGTTTTGAATAATCCCAATCAAAATCCGAGTAAGGTATTTTGTGTATATTGACAAATTGATCCTAAAGGTCATGTGGAAAGGCAAAGAAAAACCAGAATAACCAGCAAAACACTGAAGAAGAACAAAGTTGGAGGACTGACACTACCTGATTTCCAGATTTACAATAAAGCTGCAGTAGTCAAAATGGTGTACTATTGGTCAAAAAATCAACAGACTGACCAACAGAACAGAATAGAGAGCCCATATACAGACTACCTCAAAAATAGTCAACCAGTATTTTGACAAAGGAGCAAAGGCAACTGACAATAGAGAAAGGACAGTAATTTCAACAAAAGGTGCTGGAGCAATCGGATATATCAAAAAAAAAGAATTAATCCTAGGCATATACCTTTTACCTTTCACAAAAAACTAATTCAAAGTGGACCTAAATGTAAGAGACAAAACTAAAAAACTTCTGGAAGAGGTGATGACTTTTAAGATACAACATCAGGGCTTCCCTGGTGGTGCAGTGGTTGAGAGTCCGCGTGCCGATGCAGGGGACACGGGTTCGTGCCCTGGTCCGGGAAGATCCCACGTGCCGCAGAGCGGCTAGGCCCGTGAGCCATGGCCACTGAGCCTGTGCGTCCGGAGCCTGTGCTCTGCAACAGGAGAGGCCACAACAGTGAGAGGGCCGCGTACCGCAAAAAAAAAAAAAGATATAACATCAAAGGCATGGTCTATAAAAGAAATGATTGCTAAGCTGGACTTCATTTAAAAAAAAAAAACACTTCTGCTCTGCTAAGGACACTGTCAAGAGAATGAGAAGACAAGCCACAGTGTGGGAGAAGATATTTGCAAATGATATATCTGATAAAAGATGGTTATCCAGGGGCTTCCCTGGTGGCGCAGTGGTTGAGAGTCTGCCTGCCGATGCAGGGGACACGGGTTCGTGCCCCAGTCCGGGAAGATCCCACATGCCGCGGAGCGGCTAGGCCCGTGAGCCATGGCCGCTGAGCCTGCGCGTCCGGTGCCTGTGCTCCCAACGGGAGAGGCCACGACAGTGAGAGGCCCGCGTACCGCAAAAAAAAAAAGATGGTTATCCAAAGAACCCTTGAAACTCAACAATAAGAAAACAAACAACCCAATTTAAAAATAGACCAAAGACCTGAACAGACATCTCACCAGAGATGATATATAGATGGCAAATAAGCATATAAAAAGATGCTCCATTTCATATGTCACCAGGTAACTGCAAATTAAAAGAACAATGATACCACTATATACCTATTAGAATAGCTCAAATCCAAAACACTGACATCACCAAATGTTGGCAAGGATGTGGAACAACAGGAATTGTCACTCACTGCTGGTGGGAATGCAACATGGTACAGCCACTTTGGAAGACAGTTGGCAGTTACTTACAAAGCAAAACATAGTTTCACTATCAGATTCCACAATCGTGCTCCTAGCTGTTTACCCAACAGATATGAATACTTATATCCACACAAAAATCTGCATGTGAGAGTTTATAACAACTTCATACATAATTGCCAAAAACTGGAAGCAACCAAGGTGTCTTTCCATAGGTGAATGGATAAACACATTCTGGTACATATATACTATGAAATATTATATAACTGAAAATAGCAATTAAAAGAAATGAGCTATTGGGGCTTCCCTGGTGGCGCAGTGGTTGAGAGTCCGCCTGCCGATGCAGGGAACACGGGTTCGTGCCCCGGTCTGGGAAGATCCCACATGCTGCAGAGCGGCTGCGCCCGTGAGCCATGGCCGCTGAGCCTGTGCGTCCGGAGCCTGCGCTCCGCAATGGGAGAGGCCACAACAGTGAGAGGCCCGCGTACTGCAAAAAAAAAAAAAAAAAAAAAAAAAAAGAAATGAGCTATTGGACTTCCTTGGCTGTCCAGTGGTTAAGACTCCACACTTCCAATGCAGGGGACGCATGGGTTTGATCCCTGGTCAGGGAACTAAGATCCCACATGCTGAGTGGCACAGCCAAAAAAAATTTAAAAGTAAAATAAATGAGCTATTAAGCCACAAAAAGACAGGGGTGAAACTTAAATTCATATTGCCGAGGGAAGAAAGGGGCAAGACTGAAAGGTCTCCGATTATTCCTATTACACAGCATTGTGGAAAAGGCAAAACTATGGTAAATAGTAAGAAGATCAGTAGTTGCCAGAGGCTGGGGGGAAAGAGTAGGGGAAGGGAGGGTTGAATAGGTGAAGCAAGTATGGCAAAACTGTATGAGAGTATAATGGTGGATATATAATACTACATATTTGTCAAAACCTATAGAACTTTACAGCACACACAGTGAACTTAACGCATGCAAATTAAAAAAATATTATTCAGGAGACGACGGGATCCCAGGATAGAATGCAGAATGTGACAAACAATCTAATTGTATTACAAATGTATGAAGCAACCTCACCAAAAGAGTGGGGGAGGACTTCCCCAGTGGCACAGTGGTTAAGAATCCGCCTGCCAATGCAGGGGACACGGGTTCGAGCCTTGGTCCGGGAAGATCCCACATGCTGTGGAGCAACTAAGCCCGTGTGCTACAACTACTGAGCCTGTGCTCTAGAGCCCACGAGCCACAACTACTGAAGGCCACGCGCCTAGAGCCTGTGCTCTGCAACAAGAGAAGCCACCGCGATGAGAAGCCCGCACACCGCAACAGAGTAGCCCCCACTCACCGCAACTAGAGAAAAGCCCGCACACAGCAAAGAAGACCCAGCACAGCCAAAAATAAATAAATTTGTTAAAAAAAAAAAAAAAAGAGTGGGGGAAAGAGTGCTGGCCTAAGAAACTGTGATGATGAGTCGGGTCTGTAGAATAAAGGCAAGAAGATCTGCACATAAGCACTATATCATGAGGGTGAGAGTTAATAATTCTGATGCTAGCAGACATGAGTATTGGAATTGAACAATTAAGCAAATGGATGGCAGGTTACAGAAGTCAGGCTTCTCACTGTTGGAGTCGGGGTTTACAGACAAGCAAGGGGAGGAGGCTAGAATGATCTGTGTGGTGATGGTGTGGTGGAGACATCAGCATGAATTCATGTTTAGCTAAATACAGACAAAGATGGTTACATCCAGAAATAGTTATAGGTATGTGTGTACACAACAGAACAGTATACACAAACATACTTTTTGCTGTCAGCTGAGAGGGTCTAGAAGCAAAGACAGCACAGTAGCAATAAGATTACTGAGTGCCCAGATTTTGATTTATAATAACCATTCTCCAATAAAAGGAACCAGGTTCCCCTAATATGACTGATACTAGGACTGGGACAAGAAATATGCAAGATGAGCCTGGAGCATCTTATAGGTCCAGAAGGTAAGGAAGTACACACATGCACACGTGCACCCACACTGATCATGTCAAAGGGATACAGGAGCAAACTGAAGGGGGGCCCCTGGTGGCCAAAGCTGGAATAATTTGAGCAACAAAAGTGATATTAGACTATAACCCAAAGTAAAAAATAAATATCCATGCTTACATACTGATATAAATAAATGATTCAACAAATAAATAAACACTGACATACACTGAATGTTTGTGTCCCCCCAAATTCATGTGTTGAAACCTAATCCCCATGCCATGTTTTCTGGAGGTGGGGCCTTTGGGAGGTAATTAGGAGCCGTCATGCATGGGATTAGACTCCTTATAAAAGATACCCCAATAGATAACTAACAAGGACCTACTGTATAGCACAGGGAACTATACTTAATATCTTGTAATAACCTATAATGGAAGAGAATGTTAAAAAAAAGAATATATATATATAAATATATCTATAAATATATCTATATAAATAAAATAACTGAATCACTTTATTATACACCTGAAACTAACACACTATAAAACAACCATATTTCAATAAAATTTTTTAAAAAAGAGAGACCCCGGAGAGAGCCCTCACTCCTTCAGCCATGTGAAGACACAGTGAAAATTTGGCTGTCTATGAACCAGAAAGCAAGCCCTCACCAGACACCCAATCTGTCGGCACCTTGGTAGTGGACTTTCCAGCCTCCAGAACTGTGAGAAACAAATTTCTGTTCTTTGCAAGCTACTAATGGTATGGTATTTTGTTATAGCAAGTCTATGGTATTTTGTTATAGCAGCCCAGACAGACTAAGACAAATGGATAAGAGACAAATCTCTCATGCAGAAAAATTCCCAATAATATATGCAGATACTCTGCCTTCAAGGAGGGGGAGCATAACTCCCCACTCCCTAAGTGTGGGCTGTGCAGAGTGACTTCCTTCCAAAAAATACAGTACGGAAAGTGGGCGGGAGGAAGAGCATCCTTACAATCGAGAAGCCCAACAAGCAATTCATCAACCAAATGACCAAAGCCAAGGTGAACAATCATGTTGACAGCATACACCCTTGATAGGATGTGATGAAAATGGCACTTCGCCTCTGTGGTCTTCTTCCTCCAACCCACAGTTTTTTAAAAATTTATTTATTATTTATTTTATTTATTTATTTTGGCTATGCTGGGTCTTAGTTGCAGCATGCATCTGGGATCTAGTTCTCCAACAAGGGACCCAACCTGGGCCCCCTGTATTGGGAATGCGGAGTCTTACCCACTGGACCACCAGGGAAGTCCCTCCAACCCCCAGTTTAACCATGAGTAAAAAAACAAATTCCAAACATCCTGCAAAATACCTGACCAGGACTCCTCAAAACTGTCCAGGTCATCACAAATAAGGAAGGTCTGAGAAACTGTCACAGCCAAGAGGAGCCTAAGGAGACATGACAAATGTAACGTGGTGTCCTGGAACAGAAAAAAAAAAAAAGATATTAGGTTTAAAACTAAGGAAATCTGAATAATGTATATTAATAATAAAGTATCAATACTGGTTCATTAATTGTAACAAATGTACCATACTAATGTTAGATGTTAATAATAAGAAAAACTGAGGGATATATGGGAATTCTCTGCACTACCTACGCAATTTTTATGTAAAGCTAAAGCTGTTCTAAAAAATAAAGTCCTGGCGACTTTCCTGGCAGTTCAGTGGTTAAGACTCCACGCTTCCAATGCAGGGGGTGTGGGTTCAATTCCTTGTCGGGGAAATAAGATCCCACATGCTGTGTGGTGTGGCGGGGGGGAAAAATTAAAAATAAAATCTATCTATCTATTTATTTATTTGGCTGCACTGGGTCTTAGTTGCAGCTCGCAGGCTTCTCTCTAGTTGTGGCACGTGGGCTCAGTAATTGTGGCACGTGGGCTTAGTTGCCCCGTGGCATGTGGGATCTTAGTTCCCCAACCAGGGATCGAAGCCACGTCCCCTGCATTGGAAGGCAGATTCTTAAGCACTGGACCACCAGGGAAGTCCCCAAAATAAAGTCTACTTCTTTTAAAAAAAAAAGGAGGAGTCCTTAAAATCATCATCTCATCATTTCTGTGGACTTTGAAGGTATTTTGCTGGTGTCCTTAAATAAATAATCCTATGTTCTGGAGGGTCTATTGATTTTAAGTGTAAGTTAAAAATTTTGGATAATCATTTAAAGAACAGAAACAGTATGTAAACTAGTAGAAGGACAAACAGAATTATTGTGGGGAGAATTTAATCTAAAAGAAAACAAAAAGGAGGGGGAGAAAAAAGAAACCCAGAAAAACTGAATAGGTAGAACAAAAATAAGACAGAAGACAGAAACCCAAATATATCAGCCATCACAATCCATGTAAATGGATTAAACTATCCAGTTCAAGGGCGAAGACTATCAGGTTGGTTTTTAAAATACCCAGCTATATTCTGTTTTCAAGAGAAATTCCTATAACATAAAAATGCAAAAAGATTAAAAGTGAAAGGTTAGAAAAAGATATACCAGAAAAATACCAACCAAAATAAAGCTGGCTTAGCTATATTATTATCAGATCAAATAGTCTTAGGCAAAAAGCATTAATAGAGACAAAGAGCATATATCAGATTGTATTTTGCAATGATGGCTGCAACAATACCCCATCCCACTGTGGTCTTCTATAATTTTGTCATTCATTCACAAAGTCTAAGTCCTCTCCCTTTGAATCTGGGCAGATTTGTGACTTGCTTGTAAGTTGCAGAATATACAAGAAGTGATAATATATGACCTCAAGTCAGAAAAGATAATGCACTGCCACCTTGCTCTTGGCAACACTTGAGAGCTGTTGTGTAAACAGTCCAACCACCCTGAGGCTGCTATCCTGGGTGGAAGCCTAAATTGGCCCAGGAAAGTAATCCACATGATTACCTGAAGAAGCCCTGTGATTACCTGAAGAAACAGAAGCATGTCCAGCCAGCCCCCAGCTTCTCCAGCCCTCAGACTATTCCAGCTTTCATGATTTCAACTGCATAAGACTTATAGACAGAAACAGTCAACTGACCCCATCCCCAATTTCTTTTTTTTTTTTTTTTATGGCTGTGCCACACAGGGATCTTGGTTCCCTGACCAGGGATTGAACCTGTGCCCCCTGCAGTGGAAGCACAGAGTCCTAACCATTGGACTGCCAGGGAATTCCCCCATGCCGAATTTTTTTTTTTTTTTTTTTTTTTTTTGCGGTACGCGGGCCTCTCACTGTTGTGGCCTCTCCCGTTGCGTAGCACAGGCTCCGGACGCGCAGGCTCAGCGGCCATGGTTCACGGGCCCAGGTGCTCTGCGCCATGTGGGATCTTCCCAGACCAGGGCACGAACCCGTGTCCCCTGCATCGGCAGGCGGACTCTCAACCACTGCGCCACCAGGGAAGCCCTAAAATTATGTTTTATTCAGCAGACTTTCTGAGGACTTAAGCCCAGGATACAGCCTCTCAGATAACTCTAAGGGACTGTTCTGAAGAGGTAAGGGAGGAGCCAGGATACATAGAGGAGTTTTTGCAAAAAAATAAACAAAAAACACACAAAGAAACAACAAACAAACGAAAAACAACAAAAAGCCCAGGTAGTTGGAACATCAAAAGATTACTGTTAATTAAAGAGAAAACAGACATCTCAAGTTAATGAATTTAGTGCTTTTCTATGTATGGGAAGATGCAAGAGTCTGGGCTCATTGAAATCATTCCTTTGATATGCACTTTAGCTATCTAGGGCTAGTATCCTGTTTTTCTCCATCTGAATCCCTTCAGGGTGTAATAGGGAATTCTATTACAAGTTAATCACTAAAGGGATGTTGCCTATAAGCTTGAATTATAATGACCCTCCTCTGGGACCCCTGCCTCCCAGGTGATGAGCACTAAGCTAAAATCCCTTTGTTTGGCTCACATCCAGACCAGGCCCACCTGTGAATGACTACAGGAAGGAGGAAACTAACACATCCCCTCCTGAGGCTGACCAGAACCAGGAAATGTTTGACTTTACTCCCTCCCCTTTTAGTATAAATGAAGCCTGAATTCTAACTCAGGCAAGATGGTTCTTTGGGACATGAGTCCACCATCTTCTCGGTCTGCTGGCTTTCTGAATAAAGTCGCTATTCCTTGCCCCAACAACTCATCTCTCAATTTATTGGCCTGTCGTGCAGTGAGTAGTATGAGCTTGGACTTCGTAGCAAGGATGCCCAGTGAGGCTGCTGCAGTGGCTGATGGCCTGATGGCAGGAACATCCTTTTTTTTTTTTTACTGATACAGCAGGTGACATTTTTTTGTCCACAGAGAGCTGAAAAATGGGCAAAACTAAGGTATGATGTGGGAATTTGATTAGTGATTCTCTTTGAGGGATAGGAACTGGAAGGGGGCACTGCAGGGAGGGCTCATGGGCGCTGGTCACGTTCTGTTTCCTGAGCTGGGTACTGCTTATATGGGTGTATTTGGTTTGTGAAAAATCAAGCTATAAATCTATGACTGGTTGTGTTAGTCCTGGTCCTCCAAGAGCAGATGCCAAGATGGTATTAGATGTGCATAGGATTGATCGGGGAAAATTCTATGAGTATAAAGGGAAAGGGAACCAGAGGAAGCCAGTGGACCTGTCAGACTATGGTGCAGGTCTGACCCCTGTGAAGGAGAGAGGGAAGGAAGGAAATAGGTAAGGGAGGTCTGAGACTGCTGTAGAGATATTTTTTTTTAATAGATCTTTACTGGAGTATAATTGCTTCACAATACTGTGTTACTTTCTGTTGTACAACAAAGTGAATCATCCATATGCATATATATATCCCCACATCCCCTCCCTCTTGAGCCTCCCTCACACCCTCCCTATCCCAGCTCTCTAGGTCATCGCAAATCACCAAGCCGATCTCCCTGTGCTATGTTGCTGCTTCCCACTAGCTATTTTACATTCGGTAGTGTATATATGTCAATGCTACTCTCACTTCACCCCAGCTTCGCCCTCCCACCCCATGTCCTCAAGTTCATTCTCTATGTCTACCTCTTTATTCCTGCCCTGCAAATAGGTTCATCAGTACCATTTTTTTTGTTTTTGTTTTTAGATTCCACATATATGCGTTAGCATACGGTGTTTGTTTTTCTCTTTCTGACTTACTTCATTCTGTATGACAGACTCTAGGTCCATCCACCTCACTACAAATAACTCAATTTTGTTTCTTTTTATGGCGAGTAATATTCCACTGTATATATGTGCCACATCTTCTTTATCCATTCATCTGTTGATGGACATTTAGGTTGGTTCCATGTCCTGGTTATTGTAAATAGTGCTGCAATGAACATTGTGGTACATGTCTTTTTGTTTTTGTTTTTTGAATTTTTGAATTTATTTTTTATACAGCAGGTTCTTATTAATTATCTATTTTATACATATTAGTGTATATATGTCAATCTCCCAATTCATCACACCACCACCACCACCCCTGCCACTTCCCCCCTTGGTGTCCATACGTTTGTTCTCGACATCTGTGTCTCTATTTCTGCCCTGCAAACAGGTTCATCTGTACCATTTTTCTAGGTTCCACATATATGCGTTAATATACGATATTTGTTTTTCTATTTCTGACTTACTTCACTGTATGACAGTCTCTAGATCCATCCACATCTCTACAAATGACCCAATTTCGTTCCTTTTTATGGCTAATATTCCATTGTATATATGTACCACATCTTCTTTAATCATTTGTCTGTTGATGGGCATTTAGGTTGCTTCCATGTCCTGGCTATTGTAAATAGTGCTGAAATGAACATTGGGGTGCATGTGTCTTTTTGTTGTTGTTGTTGTGGTAAGCGGGCCTCTCAGTGTTGTGGCCTCTCCCGCTGTGGAGCACAGGCTCCAGACGCGCAGGCTCAGCGGCCATGGCTCACAGGCCCAGCCGCTCCGCGGCATGTGGGATCTTCCCGGTCCGGGGCACGAACCCCTGTCCCCTGCATTGGCAGGTGGACTCTCAACCACTGCACCACCAGGGAAGCCCACATGTGTCTTTTTGAATTATGGTTTTCTCTGGGTATATGCCCAGTAGTGGGATTGCTGGGTCATATGGTAGTTCTATTTTTAGTTTTTTAAGGAAACTACATACTGTTCTCCACAGCGGCTGTATCAATTTACATTCCCACCAACAGTGCAGGAGGGTTCCCTTTTCACCACACCCTTTCCGGCATTTATTGTTTCTAGATTTTTTTTGTTTTTGAATTTTATTTTATTTATTTTTTATATAGCAGGTTCTTATTAGTTATGTTTCTAGGTTTTTTGATAATGGCCATTCTGAACGGTGTAAGGTGATACCTCATTGTAGTTTTGATTTGCATTTCTCTAATAATTAATGCTGTAGAGATTTAAGAAACTTTCAGCAAGGCCTACGGCAAGCCCTGGGATCAAAGTTACTGTAGTGGGGCTTCCCTGGCAGCTCAGTGGTTAAGA